GCAGTAGGCAAAACATATGCTACCTGCTTAGCAACAGCAAACAAAGTGGTTAAAATAGTGAGGAAATTAGCAGCTAAAGAGCCATATATTTTTCCCAGGAGATAGTGGAGACCAAAACATGACAAATTCATGCTCTTAGTGTTGTGTAGGTTGCCTGTAACAACCTCACAAGCTGATAATATGTCAGTGTTGTTTTTACAGCTTAGAGGCCAGATAACAAAACAATTGATGCTGCTCTAAATTTTTAAATGCAAGGTAATAGTTGTGCCTGGTAACACTTCCTGTTACGACAAAATTGACACAGGCATTACAGACATTATTGTATGAAAATGAGTACATACTGTAATGTATACTTCACAGCATTACATAAAGAGATAAGACACAGTAACAGTGTTAACTATATACCTCTTTTGTTGCATTTTGAGCAGGATTTGTAGAGTTCTGCCTCTCCAGTTGTTGAAGAAACGGAAGAGATTAAATGCAAAAAAGCTGTTAAAGGCCATAGCTTATTAGAGACTTACCAGAAAATAGCTCAGATTGTATGAATTGATTTTCCTTTGCTTGAACAGGAAAGCTAAGTAGCTGCTGCTCTGACAGCAAAACACAACCTGTCTGGAACAGTTTCATGGTCGTAAACAGCTTCTGTAGCGTTGCGTCACTTTGGCATTGCCGGCTGCTCGTCTGCATTGATCTTGGCTCAAGTTGTTTGTCACTTGTTAGAATTTACAGGACTCATGATATTTGTTTTGTTTTCTTCTGTCTTTGTTTGTGTGTGTAGGTCATCTGGGTGGCGGTTCAGGGATTACATAATAATAAGAATAATTGGCAAATTTTTATCTGAACATTCTGCTCTTGTTTGTTGTGATATTGGCTCGGTAAGGGATGTTTATTAATGTTTTGACCGGAGACAGCATCCCTAACTAAGGCAACAGTTGTAAAGTAAAGTCATACCTTAATATCTAATACCACTGATTTGCATTAACACTGGAAGACATCTTCTCTTAAACACTCAGATGATTTGGATTCTTTTCTGAAAAGGTCTCCAGGTGAAGAGTAAATCTGCTCCGTTTGTCGCACAAGTACCAAACAACCGCTCATCTGCTTTCTTTAATGTCTGTGGAACTGATAGGACACACTCTCTCTGAAAAGCTTGCAGCCCAGTCATCCATAGCTGTCATTAAAGCATAAACCTCTACCTGAGGCTTTAATCCTCCTATCAGACAAGACCTGGACTTCCCCAGTAGCACAGCTTGCTAACCTGGCAGTAAGTGCTTCAGGACATCTGCAAATCTTGACCGGCCCCAGTGCACTGCATTAAAGGGTGACCACCATGCACATTTTTCAGCTTAAAAGCTGAAACGTTTTTTTTGTTATTAGCTTTGCAAGGCTAAAGCACCGTGACAGGTAGCAAAATTTGAATATTTTCATGCTTACCATGTAACTGTTCTTATAAAGCAGGGAAACATGCTAGTTTGGTACATAAAATCATCCTGAGGTTGCTTTGATTCTTATTGATGTGTGTGCTTCTTTTGATCTTTGCTTTTTTTATGTAGCTTTTCCTCCTCTAATGACTTGTATTACTTAAAATTTAGCAGCATTAAAAAATCGGGGTCATGAAAGTGCACAATATTTTCAAAGTATTTTGAGTTTATGAGAAACGTTTCTTTCTCTACATGGTATGAATTAAAGATAAAGTGCTACAGCCTGTAAAAGACATGGTTTCTTTCATCAAATAAATAAATCCTCTTATAGACAACAGTGGCTGTGTTGGTTTACATACTGTATGTGTCACAAAATCTATATGAATATTAACCACTGCATGCGTAGGATCTGGTGTTGCATTACAGATGCAAAACTGTTTCAAAAGGATCAGTGTGCTACAAAATTTTCCACCATTATACCATGAAAAAAGCTTTTGTCTATATATAAAGGACCAACATTATGCTACACTGCATCATTTGTGAAAAGGTAACAATAAATTCGGGCTCAGTAGGATCACCTGAGTGTGTGCCAGTCAGTGTGGTTTTATGTCATGGATCATTCAGTCCTCCTGCTGTAGAAAACACATTTCTATGCCCAGCTGTGTTTGTGGCAGCTACAACGAGTTCCATGTCAAGTCTTACTCACAGTTTTCACATCCAGTGTATAAAGAAAGCAATAAATAACACTTTTTAAAAATATACAGATGTACTTTTGTTCCAAGATATTTAAATTATTTACCAGTGACTCTCAGTGAACCACTGCCATCTGTCACTACAAGAAGATAAATGTAGATCGCTGCCATCTTTAATATTAGAGTTTGGGGGATAACAGGCTGTCTTATGAAACTTCAATTTTAAACATAGTTGTACAGAAGTTGATACTGAACTGATTGCATTTACGAAACCAGACACCAGAATACCAGAATAAAAGTAGCAGAATACATATGGACTATATCTAACAGGTTTAAAATGCTCAAAGTCCTGTCTATGGTGGCTTTGAGAGGTCAATATACTGCATTTTAAAAGAGTACTCCACCAATTTATCATTGCACTCCTGTAACATGGTGAAGTACGGTGGCCGACAAGGGCTTTTTCAGCGTTTCTCTCTCGCAGTTGTTTTGTGTGTTTTTGGTATTTGCAGCATTTTTCTGTTGCATTTGTTTGATGTGTTTGTGTGTTTTTGGTTTTGCATCATTCCCGTGTTTGCAGCGTTTTGCCGTTTGCGGTGCGTTTGCCCATTTGCGGCGCGTTTGCCCTTGTCGGCCACCGTAGTGAAGAGTTTCAATGCAAAAGAACCAGAGATATGTTTATCATTACACGCATTCTTCCTCCTTATCAAAACATGGTGCCACACTTACCCACAATGCAAATTGACCAGCGACAGCTCGGTCAGAGATTTAGGTGTGTTTTGCTGTTTGCGGCTAATGCTAAACAGATAAGACACCAGAAAATAAAATAACGTTTACCAGTTTGAATTGCAGCATAAGAAAACACATATATACAACACATACACTCAGAACACAAAGGGAAAAAAATGTAATATTCGCTTGAAGGCTATTTTCTGTATTTGCAGGGTGTTGTTTTTTATACTTTGTGTTTACTTCCTTTGCTTTGTGTTTTGCCTGCACGTGTTTTTAAGTTGCATTGCACTGAAGGCCACACTCAAGACCACTGTTCATTGTGAGGAGATTTTAATAAACTAACAGGCCTCAGTCACTGAGGTTGGTATGAAAAGTGCTTTGCTCTGCTGCATTAACATGTTTTCAGATTCACATTAGTAAGACGCGACTCAACCTTCACCTCCCGCCCTGTAGACCTGTAGGTGAAAACCAAACAGAACTTTATAAAAAGAATTAATATGGAGATTAAAATATTAGAATTCATCCTGCACAAAAGCTCTTAATTAAATGTTTGTCCTATGAAATACAAATAAGAAGATCAGAGTACCCATTTTATCACGGAATATTTGTTCAGTGTCTAAAAATGTCTTTGTGCGTAATTGTTGCATTCACAACACTCTTCCGTCTAATAACTGCATAGTTATCAGTGTTGAGACTGCAGGGGGCACGCTGCATCATTTCAAACCTCATTTAACACCGAACCGTGCCCCTTTCTAAAGCCCAAATTGCTCGCCATGAAGCAGCAGAGTAGCTCCAGACATTCATTAGCTTAATGAAAACACGGCCACTCTTCTTCTACCGCCCAGCGAGCGCGTTCTCGCCATAGCCGCAACGACCATCTGCTCTCAAGCTCCCTGCCAGCTATAGGATAGTCCTGTCAAAGCAACCCCTGTGAAGAAAGGCATCCACAAAGGTGCCTTAATCATTCAGATCAGAGGACAGGCAAGGACAGTGGGGATGCTTTTTTCCCCCTTTTTTTTAAGATGGTTTCATCTCTGCGTCCCCTGGCGACTTCTCCGTAGCGCTCACTCATGATGTTAATGATGTTGGTGAAATAAGCTGAGTGTGCACTTGTCTGAGTTGAGTTGCAACAGCCACACAGCTGGCAGTGAAGTTATTAGCCGCTCAGCCACAGTGGGAGAGGCTGCTTTGTGAAAAGGTTAATATCATTTTAGGGTTGGCCAGAGTGTGTTGTGGTGGGCGGCTGACCACCTGTTCAGCTCTGGAGGGGGTCTCTTATCATCTCATCCAACAGCAGACATTTGAAGGTCGAACCATTTAATACAATTTAAAAAATAGTGCGTGAGATAGACTACGGTTTGTTTCGGGTAGTAAATCTCATTTTTCTCTCATTTTCTTCTGCTCATATTTTCTTCAGAAACGACCCATTTGACTACAGTTGTGTTATGAGTTTCACCCCTCGGATTAATCACCACTAATCTCAGCAGTGTTGTGCCTGCAACAACCCAGAGCTACTTTTCTCAATATGAACACTAGCTGGTGCACAGCGAGAGGGAAATGATAGTCAGAGCCCCGAGGCTTGAATCTGATAGTTTGTCATCGGGATAGTATTACTTAATTTCCCACTGGGAAGAAACTCATTATTTCTGACTTTATCTCAGCACTGACCTCTGGAACAGTCTGAGGAACGTTATTGGTTTGAGCCCATGTTCCCTTTTCTTTTTTTCTCAGCACGACATGGATGACCCTAAACGCCAATAAGATACATGACTTGTGAGGGCACAGTTCATGCTAATGGATAGATGAATACGTTAAGGCTGGACCGCAGATGAGAGTCCCATTCACCTTTAATGTGCTACATACAGAGCGCAATTATATTGATTTATTACGGGCTACATTACAACTTTTTCTCACATGATGAATAGTGAATGGAACGTGAGATTATATTGATAACAGATGACTAATGGCCAGCAAACCTCTTTAATGGTGAACCTTTTCTCCAAACGTATTCTTTTACATGCAGCACATAAAGAGAGAGGCAAGCTTCAGAATCATTTGTCCACATATAAGTCAGCTTTTATGATTATTTGTCATCTTCTTATGTATGTTGGAAACATTGATAAGGTATTTGAGTGCTTTTTTTTCACCTGTGTCACAGTTTAATTTTGTCGGGAAGCTGCTGGGACCACGGGGAAATTCCATGAAGCGATTACAAGAGGAAACGGGAGTGAAGATGTCCATCCTCGGCAAAGGGTCCATGAGGGATAAAGGCAAGGTAAGAAAGATATCGATTTGTGTTGAAATATAGTTGTCGGTCTGTTCCAAGATATTGATCAAGTGGAAATATTTACAGAAATACAGTGCAGAAGAATTTTTCAACCAACAACATCTGAGCTGTAACTGAGATGAATAACACCCACAGTAGAATTAATAGCTCTCAGTTGACAAACATATGTAGGAGAAAATGGCAATGTTTTTCTGTGTGTTGTTTAATAGCATATTCTGTAATAGTCAATTATGAACGCAAAGTAATGAATCTCTTTGCTGGAGTCATTTATCCTGCTGACTTGTGGTCCCCTGCAGCCAAACTTATCCGAGCATGTACACAGACAGTCTGCTGGATCTGGTATTCACACTCATAACAGGCCTCATTGTGCTGCTATAGAGTTACATCGCTATTATTACTGTAGCCTCTGATTCAGGCATCTAGACACGACAAAAGACTTGCAGTGTTACCGCATCTTTGGTGAAACTGGAGCTGCAGTTCAGTACGTCAAGAACGTGTTGATGGCAAAATAAAGCTGAGGCTGTTACAACTACTTTAAAGCGGCTATAATTTATATTCTTATAATAAAAATGTATTAATTGAAATTGTGAAAGGGATCATTTGTAGTGATGAACCTACAGAGAATCCAAATCTGCATCTCTTCTCGGCTTTACTGAACGAGTTTCAGCTCATTGTTTAGCTGTCTAGCCCACAGCTTTACTCTTTAGGTAAACTCTTCGTATCGTATCACAGTGTGGGTTGTCGGTTGCAATGGGCAGCTGTTTTCAGTGAAAAAGCTTAAAACTCACTGTACAGACAGTGCCAAACAGCAGACAGATAAAGTTAGGGCCAAGCACCAGCTGGTGAATGTAGTGGAGCATTTAGGAGAAAAATAAGATTTCCCTTAGGAGTTGGTAGAGACCAAAAACAGAGCTAAAAGAGAGTGTAAATTGTACATCATCTGGTGGCCAGAAACACGACTCAGAAATTAATGATAATGTTGCTGTTTCAGTTCAGTTTTAGCTGGCCCCAAGTGGTCAAAACATCAGTTATTGCAGGGTCAAACATATCATTGTGGTTCTAGTGGTTGTTTGCACATATTAAATGCAATTTAGTTGAGAAAACAATCTTACCTCAAGGTTCATATTAACATTTTATAGTCTCAAGTGTCAGTACTACACTGGTGGGACTGTATGTGCCGTTTTGTTATTTTTGACACAAAATACAACACTTTTCAAAAGCAAGAAATGTGAAATCGAAAGTTCATTCTTGGCTTTGGAAACAGCAACAATTTCACCACAAGGTCCACTCAGCAGCTGTTCTAGAGCTTTTGATCATGTCACATGATTGTCCTTGCATGGAAATGTTGACACCATTTCCATTTTTCTGTAACTATTTAAAGAACTTCCCATCTATATCGACTTAAAACTTGAGGTTCAAAGTTAATTCTTGGCCTTGGGAACAGTAGTTGTTTAGTTAATTTATAAATTAAAGGTAATTTTTAACCAAGTAATCTTCTGGATGACTAAGCTTTTGCATAAGTCAGCTTAATAAAGCCCCAATTTCTTTGAATAACTGTGTGGTTTTGTAATTAGAAATTAATACCCTGTCACATGGTTTCCCATTCAGGCCTAAATGTGAGACTAAAAAGTCTTCACCCTTACAAAAGACTAAAGGCACTGAGACGTTTCTTTGCTATCACATTTTTGAATGTGCTTTTGGCCGGTGCAAGAGTTCATTTAAAACTTTGGCTTCCTGCCACTAAGTCCGTTCAGTTTGCTCATGTGCTGCATAAACTTGTCTTTAGGGTGTAAAATAAAGTAAAGAGGTGATAAAATGTTAACAACAACAACTATATGCAAAATAGGTGTTTATTTACATGCATGCAGTGCTTAGGTTGTTACACTGCACTATACAGTACAGCACGCAATATGACTGGAGTCTCAGGGATATACATGGTGCTGTGTGCAGCACAAGTATAATAATATAACCCTAGCGGTTGTCTATACCAAGGGCCATCTATGTGACGATCCGATTTAGTGTTTTCTGTTAGCAATATTGATTTTGTGTACCGCTGAGCAAGTCTGAAGGACTCTGTGATGAGACTGACACCTAAAGGTCGTGACTGAAAGGCTGGCTGCCATTCGAGGCAGCTGGTCACAAGGCAGAGTGGTACAGACATAGCCCAAGTCCCAATAGAGTCCCAATACAAGCAAAAGCACATCACACATTTCTGCCATCTCATCCGGTTCCTCAATAGGGTGCATCAGTCCAGCAGTAGGGTAACATGTCAGGTTTGACAATTTAGCATCGGAGCAGCCAGTCATAATACACCATATGGTGAGTATTACACCTTGTGCACAGACATCAACCTGGTTTACATGGTGCTGAGTCATACAGCTAAAGCAGAGAGTCCTCATTTCACCTCTCTGACTCTAGACTGTTTGCCACAAAATTTGATTGATTAAACACACAGACATACTGCAGTCATGGTAACTGACTGTGTGCACCGCAGTCTCTCTCTCATTCTCGCTCATTTCAGTGACAAAGTATTGAAACAGCTCAAAGACGTGATCGTCTGCCCACTTGCACATTTTGATCTGATTCATAATGACCTAGGCTCTCTGACAGTGAATGTGAGGCCTGCTGAAACTGAAAAAAAGTGATTTTTAATTAAAGCTGATTCCTCCCAGGGGGAAGAGAATGGCCCTGTGATGCAAGGACAAAAGTTTGAATCCCCAGATTGTCTGGGTGAATGAAGTGCATGAGTGGTACTGTCGCTTCTCTTAACAGCCACCATCAAGGTGTCCTTGAGCAAAGCCCTCAACACCCAATTGTTGCAGTACAAAATGAATTAATACAGGTACAATTACAAAAAAAATAAACTCCTTGTTTGTGTTAATCTTGGCACTGACTGAATTGACTGAGACATTGTTCAATATGCAGCAGCTGTATTTGTTACTGGTACAAAACTTCTCCACCCCAGGTCTGACATTTCTGATTATTTGTTCAGTGTAGAATTGATTTTAAGATTTAACAGGTTCCTTTTAAAGCACACTTAGGACTGGCCTCAAGCTATATTACAGATCTTTTAAACCTTCAAAGCCGGCGTGAAGCCTCAGGCAGCTCCCCTCAGGGCCTCAGTTAAGACTTAAAGGTGATTGGGCTTTTCTTGCCATTAGACTTTCGAAACAGTTTGCATTAGGAGCTTGGATCGACATCTTTTGTTTACTTCAGTGTGTTATTGTACACTTGTTGTAACTCAACTCCCCCATCCAAACAGAACCTTCACCTATTTACATTCGTAATGGTTTGCTTTTTGTTTTTACCATTTATCCCGTGGAGCTCTCTTGCTTTAAGGATTCATAAGCATGATGTCTGCTTTCATTTCATTGTATATGTAAGCACTTGCATTGTATACCACTTATGTGTTATATGTTATGTGTTATTGAGTAAACTCATGAATAAGTAATCTGCAAGGATATTGTATTCAAAGTCTTTATTTTTGTCTTTTTCAATCCCAAGACAATCGTACAATTGATGTTGTGTGGTCAGAAGTGTGCTCCACACAGTAATGTAAGGAAGAACTGAACACACACTGAGTAGCTACACTAAAACATTAAGCTGACATTCGAAATAGCCAGAAAGACAATTTTCCATTGCTCTAATTAATTAATCTTTAAAGAATGTTTTAAAGCTGCGCCTGTTTTTATATTGACAATATATAATGTGAATAATCACCAAACTCTACAGTTCCCTCAGTTCATCTAAGCGTTTTAGCTTTTAACTCACTGTTTTGGTTTTATGGCCCGCAACTCTGCTATTTGTATTCATTCTCATTCATTCAAAATGCAGTCAAAAAAAGGTTAGCAGCTAGCTGGTGAACATAGTGGGGGTTTTGGAAACCAAAACAGAGCTGACAGGAGACTAAATACTTGTCAGGTGGACACATTTTAAAATAAAGTAAAAAGCCAGGAACTTATTTATTGTTTTTTTTACAGTCTCAGGGAACAACGGGCAACAGCAATTTTGTTCTTCGTATTGTGCAAGATGCAACACTGGCAAGCGAGGTGAGAGAGCTTTTCTTGACTCCTTTGGCGCTGAGTTTGAAAGAAAGACTGGAGTAGAAAACAGAAAATGGTTACCACCATCACATTGTCACTGGCCTCCACGTGCTGCTTTCTACTGCTGTCGAACGTGACACATCAGAAAAATAGAAAACTCGTCTGGAAAATGGGAAAGGAGTTGATCACCTATTTCTAGCACGTTTACCAGCGTTTATAAGACCTGCATATAGGCACTAGTTGTGGTGTAAAAGGGTATAATTGTGTTGTTTCATTTATAAAACTTGTCATGCCTCACCTGTCCACCAGGTGTCCTCAGTGCCTGACACACCTGTCACTTATCAACTAATTAGTTTGCTGCCTCCCCAGCTGCATCTCATTACCCTGTTTTTTATATAATGACATTTTTGACTGATGACTACTCTTCCTATTTGCCTGATTTTGCCTGCCTGTTGGTAACTGTATGCCTGTCTCAACACGTCAGTCTTTTTTTTATGCCTTTTTGAAGGGCGCTATTTCCATTCCCTGATTTTACTTCTAGTGGAACTTCACATACATTGGTACCAGTGGCCACCGAATCATTTACTGACCATCAAGATGATTTGAACTATATGCCATGTCTGAGTCACAAGATGTCTATCCATTTAAACATTTCCTGGAGCTGTTCTGGAGCAGAGCCTGCAGGGCATACTTCACAACAAATCAAAAAATGCCTTTTCTATTGGAAAAACATTCACTAACAGCCTCCCTGGTGCCAGAATCTATGACTGAGCTCTAATATCTGGTCTGTTATTCTTGTTGTTTTTGCTGTAGTTGTCAGATGAGCAGTGATTATTCTGTAGAAGTTAAGTTATTCCTTTCGCAAGGGAGGAAAAGGCCACATATCATTCAGGGTTGTTTTTGTATGTGGTGCAAGTGTCTTCCTGGTGATGTAGTGATTGCTCAAGTGGCTACTTGTCTTGAAATTAAATCATAAATGTACTGTAGGTTATAACCAGCCAGTCTCAGAAATGCTTATGATAAAAGGAGGAAAAAGGGTGGCATTAAGTATCAGTCACATCAACACCTTCATTCTCAAAAAATAGCAAAAGCACTTCATACAGTTAAATGTAGTTTTTAACCAGGCTAACAGCATGGTTCTAGGGATGGCTATGTCTGTTGGTTCAGACTGAAGTATCTGAACAACTATTGTATAGATTGCCATGAGATTCTGTGCAGACGTTCATGGTGCTCAGAGTGTGACTCTCTCTGACTCTGTTGGTCCCCTGACTTTCTATCTTGCACCATCATAAGTTCAAAATTTTAGTTTGTCCACAACTTTGGTTTATGACCAAATACCTGCAAAGCTAATAACATTCTGCACTTGGTGTTTAGTGCCAATTAACAAATGTTAGCATGCTTACATGCTAAACTACAATAGTAAACATTATACCTGCTTAACATCAGCATGTTAGCATTGTCATTGTGAGTATGTTAGCATGCTTCTGTTAGCATTTAGGGTCAAACCATCACTGTGTCTTAGCAATAGTGAATCGTAGGGTGCAGTTAAAGCCATGGGCACTCTTGGCACTTGTTAACCTGCGTAAGAAATTAAATGTATGATTAATAGCAGATGGGTTGTGGGTGTGTGAAATAGGGTAAAGCGTCTCTCCATTACAGAGACGCTGTGCTCATTGATTATTTCAATCTTCAGATACGCCAACAGAATCGGTCAGGATCTAATGTTAATTAATGGTTTGTGTTCTCCTACACACCCAAAAGGTCATACACACAGTCCAAGTTCATACAATGAAATTTTTTCCTCTGGAGAGTTCTGTCCAGTCAAGTCAAATGTTCCGCAATATTTGAAATGATATTACTGCGCGTATGGAATTACAGAAGGCATTAAAGTAAATGATTAAAGTAAACACTCATGCATTATTATCTATATATCTTATATTATATTAACACACAATAAAATAATCCTCTTGAAATCTTTGTGCTGCTCGACTTAATTTAAAAGGCTTCTTGTTTTGTCCACCTACAATGTACAATCAAAACAAGACTCATTGATATCATTGTGCAATAGATTAATTGCCACACATTAATCCAAATACATTTGTGATGTTGCAGTATTTGTTACAATAATATAATATTATTATAAAAACAACATGTATTCTAATCATTTGAATTGTGTTTTTTTGTTTTTCTTCTCTTTTTTTGCCTTTACAGGAAGAAGAATTAAGGAAAAGCGGGGAGGCAAAATATGCCCATCTGAGTAATGATCTTCACGTTTTAATTGAAGTCTTTGCTCCACCTGGAGAGGCCTATTCCCGCATGAGTCATGCCTTGGAGGAGATTAAAAAATTCCTTGTTCCAGTAAGTTTAATACTTCACCTTACTTTTCCTCCTATTTTTTTTATTCCTGTGCTGTATATGAACATCAGTCATTACTGCTGACTTTATAATTTCTCTGCCTGGCTTATTAACACAAAGCAAACCGTTTCTGGGTTTACAATATCCAGGGTTTGTTTACATTAGAGTAAGATATAAGCGTGGAGTTTTTCTCTGCATTACCCTAGACTACAAGCTCTTACTCACAAATGAAAAATAATGTATTCAGCAATTAAAGTGCAGTATGGAACAACTTGCAAGACTCCAGCAACTTATAGCCCGGAGAACTTAGGAATAATTAATGTGCATGTTGTGTACACTTGCTGGGTCTAAGCTGTAAATATTAATCAAGCTTTGCAAATGTGACAAGCCTAATAGAGGAGTTGTGCTGCATGAGTCTACTTTATGGAGTTCATGCTTTTTTCTATATTGAGCCAGTGTTCTTACAAGCATGTGTGCTCACTGGGCTGGGAGGATGATGTGTCTGCATCTGCACAGAGTTCATACCCTTCCAAATGCAAATTACTTAACACTGCCTGTCAAACCAACAACTGCATAAATACAGGGTTATTAATCTGTTCTGTGTCTACGTGTTAGCTTTCAGAAAAATATACACGATATGTCTCCCATATGAGATTTTCTTTGTCTACAATAGATGGAAAATATTTTATAGGAAGACTAGTAACAGTGAAATGTATTTGTTTCCCTGTTTGCTCAATTTTAGCCCATTCTTGTTTCCACCCCTCAATGCCTTCCTGCGTCGCCCCTGCTGTAAATGTTGCATGCGTCCAGAGCATATCGGAACTGTCAACATGTTCATAAAGTATGTAAAAACATGTTTTGAAATAACACACCGGGCGCATATTTTCTCAGAAATGCTAATTTGCTTCAGCATCCCATTGGTGCTCTGATGCGCTTTGCACTGTGCGATCGATCCATGCCAGCCTAGTAATAATAAGGTCAGCTGGCTTCCCTAGCTCCTCTCTAATCTGCAGGGGCTTTTGTGTTTTGTTTTGTATAAACTGCAGTAAATATTCTGCTTTACTTCCACACACCGTCCTAGGATATAAATATATTGCCGGCCAAGTCTCAGCTCTTGCTTTAATTGCATTACCTTGAGAAAAGATGAGGTATTGTGTGTTCTAAATTTTTCTTATGAAAGTGCAGACACATTTTCTAATTAGTGTACACACAGGATTGGCTGTAATATTTATATTTAAATAGATGCACACACTCAATAAGTACAGACTGTTTAGACAGTTTGAATCTTTTGTGAAAATGTGCCAGCGGAACTAATGATGCTGGGTTACTAGGAAGGAACCAATTCAGTATGATTTTATGTAAGAAGTAGCAAAAGGGCTGAAAAACATCACTGTGGATGAGAATGCGAGAATGATGAGTTTGTCATATTTGGGGACGTCCAAAACCAGTTAGACAATAAACCCCCCAATGCTCATTTATTACTATAAATGCTAATCTAAACTGAAAGTATGGGAGCTGAACATAGGGGAAAAAAAGCACAAAATTGAAGTTATATCTTGTTGCTTAATCAGACCTTACATTTCCTTCCTTGCATTGTATTTTCATGGTGAGTAAAACCACAGAATATTATAAGTTAGAAAAGGATGAAACATCACTTTGTCTCTAAGTTTAACTTATACAATACATGTCGATAAAAACATAAAAAATAAAGAGCATAACAATCTATTTTATAGCACAAGCTCAAGGCTTCAGGGATCTTATGGATTTGCAAATAAATTGCACATAATGTAACAGGCATCTGTCAGTATCCATAGTGACAGATGTTCCCTGCCTCTGGTGGAGAGTGGCAAGTGCGTCCTGCTGTTTACCTTTTTTTATTATAGCTGCAAGACTGTGTTGTCAGTGTGCGACTTCAAGTGAATTGCTAGTGGGGATCGGTTTGTTTGAAAATAATCAGCATGGAGTTGTTAATATTGTTAATTGTTACTCCGCTTTATTTCCAACAGGCAGAATAATGTAATAGGTATTTGATTGGAATTAAAGGGACATTCCACTGATTTTACTCAAAGTCTGGGGAGTTCTACCGCGTATGTCAAACAAGATGTGGAAAAACCTTTTGTGACTCCAAACGGAGCTGCGCAAAGTCTGATAAATTGCCTCAAGTGATGTCACGTGAGTCAATGTAAGTTTGAAAATGAAAATTTAGCTTACCAGACCTTTGTAGTCTGCTTGAGGATAGCAGCTCGATGCAACATTTGTCACTACTAGTTGAACTCACCCGAGTCTCCAGTCAGGTGTCAAGTTGCATTGTGGGTAATGTAGACATCAGGTTTGACAACAAGGAAGAATGAATTTTTCCTTTTGTCTTAAACTGCCCGTTGTGAGTTCAACAGTGTTATTGGTGAGCCCTTCTATATTGACTTTAGAATATACTGAAGGAAAGATGGACTGAATTTACGATCCTGTTGCAAACATGGCTGATTCGAACCAGCTGGTGTACAACACAATTGCTTCTCTCTGTCGGCCCACCAGGCGAACTCCCACTGCTCCAGTGGCTAATCTACCCCTGCTGGTGTGACATTATGCTTCAGAAACCAAGCTAAATTCAAAGTGATGCAGCAGGCAGGGACACTGAGACATGTAGCTGTCTCCCACTATGCCACATGTGTAGTTAAGTGACTTACACTACTAGCTGCAGATGAAAATCTTAGTATGTACCATAGCATTTGAGCTGAGGTGAGTGAGTCACTTATACTCTTCTCTCTTATCTACAGTATCTTTACAAAAACTCAAATGTGCTTCTTCATCTTCTTTCTTTCATTCATTTTAATGTGGTTTCACCCCAATGATGTCTGGAAATAAATGTCTTACCCCTTTAATTTAACAAAACCAGCTTCCCACTGAGCTCCCACTGCGCTCACATCTATAAAACAGGAAAAATGAATATACATTCCCATCTTCTGATATGATTATTAAATGGCTGTTAAATTATTTAAAAACTCACAATCACATGAACTGAATTTTATAATTAGGATTTGTTATTCATTTAGTCCTGCGCAGAAATAGAGCACACAAAAGAAGTGCAGTTGACTGACTGAGTTTTATCAGTCGTTGAAGCAATTGAGAAAAAGAAAGCTTGTCTATACAGGAGCCCTGAAAGCTGCCGTGAAGCAAAATCTGACTACAGAAATGCTGTCGGTGCTGTCAGCTCAGAGTCGTGCACCCTGGAAAAGAAAGAAAAATGCAAACAGAAACCTAATCAGTGGACTACTGTGTATATACAAGCTGAGAGTGAGAAGCGCTGGAGAAGGACAGGCTATCCTGCTCTCAGCTGGATGAGCTTGTGGCCTTCATCTCGGGCCAAACTGTGGTGGGGAGCATTTTGGCACATAGAGGGTGACACAGATGCTTGAATGTGATAGTAATTTGTTTTTGCATAAAGTCAAATGTGAAGTCAAACAAAAATAAACATGCTATTAAAAGTGACTCGGGCCTGCTTGTGTTTAAATTGAATCTGTTTGATCCATGTGATCCCCAAGAATGAGCCTGAGCACCAACAGTGAAGACTGGCCTGGTGTTGCAGAGGCAAGCACTTATGCATTCACCTGCATTATCATCTTCAGCAAAGATCCAGACTGTGCAGGTGTTCTGAACAATGCAGGGACAATTTTGCTGTGGAAATGAGGGAGGTGCAATTTGTGTTAACTTTAAAAAAAACATCATGTGAAAAAATCATTTTTTTACTGTGCATTAGCAGTCGATTTTGTTCTCAAATAGCACACACTATATAGATATGCAGATTTCAGGTGTGTGGTAGCACACTATGGACCACTTGTGCTTTGCTGCAATCAGGACCTTGATAGTAGCATTGATTCTTCTCTGTATTCAGTGTCAAACCATCCATGTTCATCCAAGCAGCACGATGAAGGGAAACGCACACAAATAAGGAAGATGAATAAATGTAAAGTCTAGATCTACACCTAACTGAGTTCTTTTAAGGACATAAATGAGCAGCTCATGCTGAAAAGCATACAAACATATAGTATAAAATGTAACAAACGTCATATCAAGATGCAGATTAACAGCTGCTGCAGCTGTGCGGCTGCTTCTGTGCTTCTTGATCAACTGGCCTGATGTGCTTTGGGAGGATAAGAACAGCTTTCAGGAGGTTGTTATGCAGGACAGCGTGTACTATGATGATTTTTCAGACCTTCTCAGATTGAAAAATTAGTTTTTTGACACTGGTACGTGCACCTCTCCAAGAAGTGAAAATGTTTAGGATGATGCACAAAATAATATATGATTTTACCAGCTTATTGCTAATACATCCTCACAACAATCCACTCACCATGCACTGGTCTTTCATGAAGTCTCCACTTGTTTTAAACAGTTTTAATACATTTTGGCCTGTAACAATATTAGCCAGAACCATTTGTGTGTATTTGGACATTGACACAGATAAAATATATATTGAAAAGTCAAGTGTTTAACATTTAGGAAGCTCTATTGTTCGAAATGGAATATAATAATCATAGGTATGTTTTTAATAGTGTATAATAGGAATCATTGTGTTTTTGTTACTTTGGAATGAGCCGAAAGACCCTTTCTACAGTAGCCCAGAACGGACAAACCAAACACTGGTTTTGCGTCCACCATAGTTTCTCCTACACACTTCACAGCCTGTTCTCATTCCCAGGTTGTCAAATATGGACGCGGATGGTTTTCAGTTAGTTGCTATCTGAAACTTTACCCCTAGATGCCACTAAATCCTACACACAAGTCCTTTAAGGGTGGAAACAACTTCATTGTCTGAGGGTCTCATTTCTGTAATACGTGTACATGTTTGTAAAACCATCTCCACACTGCTAATGTTGACCTGTGGGAACATGCATCACAAACTTAAATCCTGCCCATCCAGCGCGGCAGACATGACACATCCTGTTCACCAAAAATGAAAGGGTTGTGAGGTTGCGTCAGCTGATCTTACACGAGATACATTTCAAGACACAGTTTGTTAGCTTTTGGAAATTGAAATCGGTTCATTCACATCCCCATGTGGCATAAATCTGCTCAGCCTCTGAATATACTGTCACTGAATTCTTAGCCCTGTCCTCAAAAGAAACCAATGCATCTCCTGACATTCATCTGACATCTTCACATTTGATAATAGCAATTATTAAATAGTCCCTGTAGCTATCTTGAGTTCACCTAAAATGCAATATGTTTGGGAAGACAACATTAGAAAGGCCACAAGATGTATTCAAAAGCTGGAATTGATTTGTTATCTTTGGCTATCTCTTTTAATATTTGTTTTCCTGCTGGAGAAAACATATTTACTCAGTAAAATCATATCAATGGAAGCCCCAAGGTCTCAGGGGGGATATGGCTTGACAGCATCTCTTTTAATTAAACATGAAATCTACTGAGATGTATTATACAAATGTTCTATAATTTGCATGTGCATTTTTGCCAGAAAAATAGTCCTGTAGCCAACATACTCATATCACTGAAATATAAGATAGATAAAATACAGCAGTCAACACAGCCAGTAACAGACATGTAGCAAGTAGGCCCAAACACAATCACCATACTTCATGTGCTGACCCCTTAAAGTGTCTGTGAAGGGCATCGTGTGTGTACAAGGTCATGCATGGTCAGAATTAATCTCAGTGAGCAAACAGTCTGACCCGAGAAGCCTCAGCATTGGCTTTATCTCTGTATTCTCATGTTAACTCCTCTGTCAACAGTCAACTTTTACAGGCTCTGGCATATTTGTTGTGCTTTGGATAAGCTGCCAGCTTTCCAATTAAAGACCGTGCCAGTCTCCTTCAAACCAACAGAGTGCTGTAGGCCTTATTAATTCATTAAGAAGAGAAGCACATGTGTGCAGTGTGTCAAATGTTTTGGAAATCTACCATGAGGATATTTTTTTCTTCTTCTTCAGTGACATGTGGGTGTCAAAAATCTGTTCATTATATGGTCCCTGTATGACACATATCATGTTACTGTGCTGTGACAACGTGACACCCTCTGTGTGTTATCCTGTCCCCATTTTTCACTTTTTCCAGTAGTAGCAGTCTGTGTGGAAAATTATATTGAAAGTTTGGTAGATGTACAACTTGGACTGGTGGTTGTATGCATACAGTATCTGATCATAATGTCCCCAGTTTGGTTCATATTGGGGATCTTTGTTGCATGTCATTCCCCCTCTCTCTCCCATTATTCCCTGTCACATATCTACGGTCCACCTATTCAAACTATTCAATGCTTATGTGTGACAAAATATGCAGCGATTTTATGAAGTTTTTCTGCAGCACCTGAATCACTTGGCATCACTGAACCAAGTTTCTGCTCTGTATAGGAGAATATCAAACTGTTTATGGTCATAAAGCTGCCTTTGTTGGCACATACCTGTTGATCAGTGGGAAACTATTGACTGGAATGTGTATTTCTATATCTACTGCATATGCGTGCATGTTACTTGTGTAAGTTGTAGCTTATATTGGACTATGATTGGTTTCCACACTAGTTGTGAGGTCACAAAACATTTAATGTCTTAAATGCAGATTTGATGTAACCACAAATAAACTTCCCCTCTTCAAAATGACTTTCTAGTGTCAAACTCATATATATCATTCTGCACAGTGAAGCTCAAACATTTAACTGAAAAAACGTTTGTTTGGAAGGGGGACTTGAACCTTTTTGAGATATTGTGGTAAAAGTTGAAAATTAGAAACTCAAGCTGAAAAGAAATGGCAACATTATCAAGCTGAAGAAAAGGAGCCTTGAGAAATAGTGTAAAGAGTGTGAATGTGTGAAAGTTGACATCTGATAATGAGTCTAAGAATTTTTATTTCTCACACATTTGGACAAAAACGGAGTTTCACAATTTTCTGGCGTTCACACAGAATTATTTAACTCTAATAATAGGCTTTTGTTGAAGATCTGATTACATTCAGTGTCTAAACAATGCAAATTACAGAGAGGGCAAATACCCTTCTGTGATATCCTCATGAAATAAAGTGGTGTAGGTGGGCTTATAGATACAACATAATGAAAATACATAGACCAGCATGTGAAAAGAAGCTGTTAAAAAAGAAAATGGTGACATTAATTCACCTGGTATTAGATTATACTGTATGTGTGAGCTGTAATCTAACTCGCACAGAGACTGCACAGCCATTAATGTTCTGTCCTTCCTTTATCAATGCACTTTAGACAGAATCACATCTCATGAATCCATGTGCAGTTAATTTACTGGTTGGATTGATACTCTCACAAAGATGTCATTCACTCCGTGTTGTAAAGACTATAAAGGCCTTTAAGAGGAATTATTAATATAGACCAGGAGGAATTATTTCCAACTCTTACACTGTCTCACATTTATGGAAACTTAAGAAAACTCAAAGTGCAAACTGGGTCTAAGTTTATTTGCAATGACCTCTATTTATTTCAAAATGTTTCTGGATTCTATAAGTTTTGGGGGGCTTTCTTGCTCTCTTTTCAGCACGTGATACCGCCAGGAAGACAAAGCAAAGTTACTAAATGTGGCTGTCAAAAAACACACTGACAAGCCAAGAAATCGGTTGCTGCCTCCATTGCATTGTCGTCATTACAAAAAATCATTTTGCCCGAGGTACCAAATCTTGTGGGCTTTCCTTATGTGTTTCTGAGAAATAAGCCTGTTTATCTGTCAGCAATGACAAGATAATGAATACTGCTTTGTCCACTCCCTTATCTGCTGTGTAATGATCCGTATCGTGTTTGATAACGGGTTGAGAAAAATGGTTCCGAATCACAAGATAACAATATTCCACACAAAGGTGTTGAAACTGTCAATTACAGCCGTGTGTGTGTGTGTGTCAACAAAATTAGGAATATTTTCCTATTGCTTTAAAGTGAGAAAAGGGTTTGTTTGATTTAATTTCCCTTTATGTCCCCCATCTTCTCAGCATACAGGTTTGTGAAATTATTTGGTAATCTGGTCCTGATTTTGTTGGTTAGACTTTTTTTTTTGCTTTCCAGACATTCAGTTGTCATAAATTCCTACTAGTTCTGCAAACCCCTTTACAGAAAAAAATGTTTTACCCCCTTTCTCCTTTTTAATCATACTGCTAGCCCACAGCTCTTTGAGGAATATTTTTGTCATTTCTAATCTCTGTGCTGCATTTTGTGTCCAAACATTACCAAAAGAAAACATTCTTCATTGAGTATTCAACGCTCAGCAACGCCATGTGGTTCCTGTGTGTGTCAAGATAATTTTAATTTGGTGACATTTGCTGCTGTTGCGAGCATCTGTTGCAGTCAGAAGACAAATGTCCTTGTTTTCTTTTTTTTATATGAGACATGCTGTATTTTGTTCCCACAGGACTACAATGACGAGATCAGACAGGAGCAACTGAGAGAGCTCTCCCTGTTGAACGGCTCTGACGAGTCGAGCAGAGGAAGGAGTGTGCAAGGGAGGAGTGTACGACCTGCAACCACAATATCGGCCAGGTAAAAAACTAATTACAGTTGTATAAAAAAGGGCTCTGTAATTTGTTCTTACAGTTGTAATTTGTACTTGCAGTCCACATAATGGTGAAAATGTAAAGTTCCAGGAGGATCTATTGGCAGAAATGTAATATAATGTGTTTTCATAAGTGTATAATGACCTAAAAATAAGAATAGTTGTGTTTTCATTACCTTAGAAGGAATTTCTATCTACAGAGGCTGGCATGTTGAATCGCAGTATTTCTATGTCAGCCCAGAATGGACAAACCAAACACTGGATCGAGATAGGCCTTACACATTTCTCATGTCCACCGTGGTTTCCCCTACACACTTGGGAGGCCAATCTATATTCAAATGGCTGCAATCTGCAACTTCACTGCTAGATGCCACGAAATCCTACACACTGGTTCTTTAATGGGGTATTATCTTTAAGTTAGTATTGCACTTGCACACAAGTATGGAAACTTGCAAAAAATTGATAAAAAATCCTCCTGTTTACAACCTCCTGTTTCAAAGTCTTATCATCAGTGTTGTTTTAGGCTCCCTTTTGCACAGTTTGCAGCCTGCAAATCATTTTCTTTAGAAAAACAACAGTGACATTTGTGCTGACAGCAGTTTTTGTAAGTGGCCCCCAAAAAATATTTTTGGTATTGTCCTTATGCAGAATCTTTATGGAAAAAAACATGTTATTTATTTGGTGGCATCTAGCGGTGAAGTTGCAGATTACGACTAACTGAACACCACTCACGTCTGTATTTGACAACCTGGGAATGAGAAGGGCAGTGAAGTGTGGAGGTAAACCTATAGCCAGTGTTTGGTTTGTCCATTCTGGGCTACTGTAGAATGGAGCTTGAACATGGTGAACTCCATGAAAGGCAGCCAGTAACGGCTTTAGATAAAAACACACAAACGATTCCTATATTCAGGTGATTATACACTAACGAAAACATATCTATGAATATTATATTCAATTTCTGCCAATAGATCCTTCTAAATGTTACCGTGTCAACTACGGTAAAAGCAGAACACAGAGCAAATTATGGTTCAACAAATGAAACAAAGACAGGCATGAAAAAGAAAAAGTAAATTACAGAATAATTTGCAAAAACAGACATAGGCAAAGAAAGATAAGAACAAAATGTGTAAAACCACTGAAGTGTCCCTTTAATTCAGTTATACAATCACCCAAAAGTAGTTGTTATTCATTGCACTATGATGTGTAATTTTACACATTTATGGATTATATTTCTTTTGAAACTTGGTGTGCAGTGTTGTGAATGAAATACATATTTTAATAATAAAAAAGGAAAAACCCACCTTCATGGTGAATTTTCAGATTAATTGGGTTCACTGGCAAACATTTCAATACTTTATATAAACATCTTCCTCAGGCTAATAGTTTTATTGCATTTCCTTTTCGATTTTCTCCAGTTATGTGTTTCTTGATAGTTTAATTTATAGTTGTTTTCCATGTATAGTAGTGAGTTTTAGGCAGGACGAGCTACAGAAAAACATAATGTTATAGAGCATTTGATTGGCTTAGCCATGTATGCAGCTGAAACGCCTGCCTCTTCCAGTCTACTCTTTTAAGTTCGTTTTTAGAGCAAATTGTCCATAATCTACCTGAGCCTCGGCGGTCCCTCAGGAGTAAGCAGGTACAGTTTGCCATGACAGCCTGGCCTAATTCAGGCAGCACATGTAGATGAGCTAAATCCAGTAACATGGGACGCCCCCAATTTAAAGTCACCACCACCACTTCCCTACCCAGATTTTCTCCTTATGGTGCACCGATAAGCGATTATTGTAAATCTCCATGAAAAATATGCACCAGTAATTCCCCTTTGAGTGTCTGTATTTTTGGATCACAATGGGCTGCTACCTAGTGAAGGATGTGCCAGAGGAAGAAAGGGTATCCTAGCCCACCTACATCATGCTGCTGTTAAAATGTGAAGTTAGACAATAGACGGCTTTGCAGTACTAAATCCAACCTTCAGTCCCTGCTGTGTCCAAGCGGTTCTGCTACTGGACAGTCACACCTCCATAAAAGAAACAATCCACGTTAAATTCCTCATGCCTGCCAAAGTCCTTTGGCCTTTGATGTCTCTCCACTGGACCCTGTTAAATAAGTCTTTGCTCTTTTTGAAAACTACACCTGTCTGGCTACGGGTATGTCTACAACCAGAGTGTCTTTGGCAGCTTCAGGCAGATGGAGGTGTGATTTTGTACAAACACAGTCTGCTCCATCATGTTATTGAAATAACCAAGCTGGATCCCACAGGCATGTTTGCAGAGCTGAAAAAGACACAAAGTGACACTCTTCAGCCCTCCAATCATTACAAGATCTACGTTAGTGCCAGCGGAGGTTATGTTCATCTCTGTAACAATGTACGACCACCAACTGAGACAGCCTGCACATGTGCAGCGATAAGAAGGATTTACCAAATTTCTTACTGTCTTGATTACACTTTTTCACTGAAATCACTGCAGATTATTTACAAATGTTGTAAAGTGTGGAATAGGAATCTTAGGGAAAATTGATGCCATGTTTGTCCGCCTGTTTTCTTTACCAGGGGCCTCAGAGGCGCAGGAAGGAGTGCAGCAGCACCTCGGGGGACAGCGCCAGCGTCACACAGCAAACTTCCCACGACTGTTTTAACAAGGGAGGTACAAGCTCCGAGAGCCAGGGGGTCAGCAGGGAGTGCTGGGTACAGGCCCCCGCTGTTAGCAGTCACACATGACTCATACGACGACTATGTAAGTCCAATCCTCTTTGCACACATTGAAAAGTATAGCTGATAATAATTTCACTTGAACTGTGTGTAAATCAGACTTGGTTTAATCTCCTTTCATATTTCATATGGAGTCTTGCTTTTCACGGAGTGGTGCATTCAGGGACATGCTGAAAAATTAGGGCAAGCAGAAAATGATTTTAAAGGTATATCATACCTTTTGTAATTATTTTGGATCTTCTAGGCAACTCTTAGTTTCCATTCACCTCAGCGTTATATTAAAATGATCCCGGATAAGTAATCCATCACAGTGAACATTACATCATCCTCATCTTTTATTAGTAAATAAGGGTATCATTGAGTCTAATGCAGTTTCAAGCAGGGATCATTCCAAACTTTTTAAAACCATAGATTTTCTCTTCAATTATGCCAACCCTTGGTGTCTCAGGTAAAGTAAAAGTAATTGGATTTATGTTGCTGTATGGATTCGCTGATAAATATTGCACTAAAGTAAACAATAAATAGCAATTAATCATGCTAATCTGTTTAGTTATGTTTGTGAAGTTTATTCGAGAAAGAGGAGTGCTTTGCCTCAACATGTCTCTTGAGCTTATTTGTCCCCATTGCCGTTTTTGCCCTACATATAGAGCATTCTTTTATGGGACAGTTAGCTTTCCATGAAAAACTGTAAGCCATGTATCTTTCTTTGTACTTGCAGATTTATGTTCTGAGATGTATCAGTATGAGCTCCATTTACTGTGACAAATCGCTCTATCACTTGCTCTGACCGCTATTTCTGGCTGCTGTGCACCTGGAAAACTATTTTTTCTTATTAAACAACATTTTTAATATGGCGATTTGTTAAAAATTATTATAGTTATTTTTCTGCATTTCATTTTCAGTAAAACTGTATAGCTAAGGAAGTGATGGAGATTGGCATCACCAGGCCGCCAGCATTTGAATGGGAAAAGTTGATTTACGTATACCTATAATAGCAGCTACCGAAGAATTTTATTTTTTTACATGTTGGCTTTTCAAAGGTAGGTAGGGTCCGTCCCTACTGTCCCTACTGGTTCCGCGGTCCTTGGCGGTTTCAATGTAAATTTTTTTTCTATGATATTTGAAAACATAATGTATGTAATGTGGTTAATGTAATGTACAAGCGATTAGAAAAAGCAATAAGAAAAAGTGTTTGAGGATGATGTGAATTTAGTCACTCGTGCATTAGAAATGTACCTGAATCATATCTCAGTGCTTTAAAATCAGTGTCTGCTTGCAGGTATTAGATTTTCATTATGTGGCGAAACGAATGGATACCAACGTTTGCCTGAAAAGAAGCTAGTTAATTGCAACATAAATTAAAACACACACACAAAACGTGGGGTCCTGTAAAGAAAACAAACACATACACCAATCAGCCACACCATTATGACCACCTGAGCACCCTGGAGCCACAATGAGCCTTGGTCGCCCATGATCCTGTCTCCGGTTCACCGCTTTTCCTTCCTTGAACCAGTTTTGATAGGTACTGACCCCTGCAGACTGGGAACACCCCACAAGAGCTGCAGTTTTGGAGACGCTCTGACCCTGTCGTCTAGCCATCACAATTCAGCCCTTGTCAAAGTTGCTCAAATCCTCACGCTGCCCATTTTTCCTGCTTCTAACACATCAACTTTGAGGACAAAATGTTCGCTTGCTGCCTGATATATCCCACCAACTGACAGGAGCCATGATAACCACATAATAAGTCACTTCACCTGTCAGTGCTCATAATGTTATGGCTGATCGGTGTATACCATAAACATAAGCATGTAATGTGTTATAGGTAACAGTTCACCTTCAGAAAAAGTTTGATATAGACTTAAAGTAATTTTGTATGATGGTAAGTCACAAACCCATGAAGCTCTGCCCTGTGAAGCTGCACCATTAACATGCAAAAAGAGAACACTCCACTGGGAGGTGTAGGGGGTGCCTTGACCAGTGGTCTATAAAATCTTTGTTCACATCGCTTTGTTCACACAAAGCTGGGATGTTATAAAGATAAATATTCAGTCTTTTGTTAAAAGTATGCTTGTCCTCAGATCTTGGAAATTTTTCAAGGTCATTTTGAAAAGACTACACAAGGTGAGCTCTAAGTTTCATCCAAATGAAAAAAGGCAACACTTTTACTGGTCTATTTCCTCAGAGCCTTCCTGCTAAGCAAAGCCCCCATGTGTGCTGGCAATTGAAGATTGGGCTGTCTGCATGGGGAAATGCACAAGCGCAGTCTCATTACCAAACCAAATTGAGTTCTGATGTAGAGCCTGTGTATTTCTGAGGAGTAAAAAGCGAGGCATTTCTTCTCTTTGTAATTGGAGGTTGGAAAGAGGGGTGGGAGCGTAGAGACTAGGGGATTATGGAAAGATGAGTTTGTCCTGAACATTTTCTTCCCTCATATCTCACTTTGCCATTTTTTCTACTACATTACACAATTTTCTTTGAGCATGTTTCCAGAATGTAGCAAGACCTCCTTATACAAAAGGTCCTAGTTTGTTTGTTTTTTCAATCACTGAGTGTACACGATGTACTGCATGTTGTTATTCCACTACAAGAATCCTGCGTGGTAAAATCTACTGAAACACAATGAAAGATCAGCAGCAGTATCGTAGTTGATACATCCTGCATTTGTCTTTGGGAAAATATGCAATGCAGCGTGTTTCGGTATCGTGTTGACTGCTGATTGATGGACTCTGTCAAACTGTCAGTCTGTCACATAAAAGTGATACTCTGAGACTGTCCATAATTGTATCTAATATAGGGTGGTATTGATTTAAAACTTCAGTGGAAAGCATGAGAAAGCTGGTAGTTATCATGTATCATTGTTTGCTTTATAATTTATGAATGTAACGTTTCCTCTTTGTCTTTCTCCCACAAATCTCACCTTGCTATATCCTTTGCACCAGCGCTGCTCTTTGATTGTTTTCTTTGTTCCTCCCAGAGTGTAGTTTTTTGTGCAAAGACTCAAGACTTTTACCATTCATGAGCAGAGAAGGCTGCAATACTTCACTTGTGTAACACTTGCTGAAACCATAAAAAGCAGTCACACCAAAAAGTGTTGTTTTGTATTATTCTGTGAAGGAATTCAAGGCCAAACTGACAAAGGTCTCCTTTTTTATTAAGGATGTTAAAGGATCAGGCTGTTGATATTTTACATTTGTCTTGATCTCAAGAAATCCCATTAAAAACAAAACAAAACTGACAATGAATTGATCCCGCTAACAAGTACTGTCTGTGTAGCCAAAGCCTGATATATCTTATTCCTCTGTGCTCCTTTGTTATTCAAAAACTATTAAAAACATATCAATAAGCCACACTATTGCACTCATGGCATTTTCCTTCATTACAATGAACATGGGCATAGTAGTTTATTTAAAGTCAATTCCGCTTACCAAAGCAACAAATGTGCATTAATCCGCATCTAAAAATAGCCCCTAATAAAAATACAGTTTTCTCCTGTTTAAGTAATATTTGCTTAAAACTACAGGTTTAGTACATTATTCAGCATATTTTTAAAGATCTACGTCGTCAGCAGAAACCAGTGGACTTGCGACCACGGGAGAGCCACAGGCATTGAAGGGAGGTCACCAAGTATTGAGAAACATATGAGAGAATTGTCGGTTTTGGTCTTTCTGGACAGGAATAATGTCAGCCTTAACCTTAAAAGGTTACAAACCGGCATCTGCTGGACGTGACAAAATCACAGTGTTAGGTAAAGTAGGTTTTATTAAAATAATGTTACAGCACACTGATCACCAGTTTATTACCAAGGAGTTAATGAGTATTAATCACATGAAAAAAAAGGCATTATTCAGGGAAAGCAAATTTTAAAGAAAATTATTTAATTCCACTTCATAAACACTGGTAGTTGTATGTAAAAATATATTTTAGGAAACACATTTGCTCTTTTTTTAAATTACATTGTATTTTTGATTTTGTAAATTCTGTACATGGATGATCATTACCAAATAAAATAATCAAGGAAATGTCAGATAGTATTTTATCAGTCACAGGACTAAGTCCTTGATGCTGCCACTTTCAGTTGCGGCATTTTGGAGTTGCATTGTCCCTCATCCTTTTATGCACACTCAACACAACAAGCTATTAACATCGCTGCACAATCTAGCCAGAAACTAATTTGCATGGGATTGCTTATTCATAACCAGCACATACACATGTAGTTATGCATGCATCCTGTAGTTTGCAGTCACTGTGATATCTGAATAAATGGCAGACTATTGTTTTCTACTTAATTTGGGGTGAAGTTCCCTTAAACAGTCCCTGTGTTACTGCTGTGGAGCAGGTCATCATGTAACACGGAGTCCTCTGGAGACTGTAGTGATTAATGGACTATGTCATGCTGTCAGTGTCGTAAAACTAATACAGTGACAGTGGCCATTATTGTACCTCTTAAAGATAGCAACGATTCAGAAGTGAAGTGGATTGCAGTGCTTCGCTGTGGAGGGAGTTAAATTTAGGTATCACCTCAATGCTACAAATATTTTTACAATTTGAAGTCAGCATTATCGTGTTAGTTTCATAGCTGCTACAGTTTTGTAACAGATTCTTCACGTTGTCATATGAAATCCTCCTAATCCAGAGATTGATGATTGTCAGGCTTTCTATTTTGAGGAAAGATGTTAACATATTGCAGCAGAAGTGCAACCAAATCATCTGCTTGTGTGTCTGGTAGATATCTGTCTCATGCAGTTAAGAGCCAGCGGGCTTTTAGCATCATTTCAGATAAATTGATCAGCCCTTTAGTGATTCAGTAATCCATAAAGGATCAATTGATCAGTAGGCCAATTTAACAAAAGTCAGTCCGGTCCTTTCAGGTGAAGTGTTCTTTATAATTTATCAAGACCATGTGATCACTAAAAAATATTTAAAGGTACATCATATACTCCCAAAGACATGGTGATCAACTTCAGCCTTTAGGTACATTTTAATGAACACATTTTGGGTCAAACATAATTAAAAATGCAAACA